ATAATATAATAATAAAATAATAATTTAATAATATATAATAATTATATAAAATCGCGAACGAAGATTGAAATATATTTGATTTCAGAATGCAATCTATATTGTAAAAATGCAAAATACTTTTCAACTTGAACGATGAACCTATCGTTTTAAAAGATCATCAAAGCTACAACAAAATTATATTTTAATATAAATTTTTGATCCGTATTAATTTTTTATTTAATATCAATATATGTACAACACAACTTTATACAAAGTAGTATATACAATACATTCATCCACATTTTTTGCAATTGATAAAACCTCTCCCAAATTAATATTTAAAAGTATTTTCAAATTTTCATTTGGCGACTGAGAGCTTGATAAAGTCCAATTAATGACGATATTGTCCCAAGTGCACCAACATGCCATGTTTTTAAACGGCCTCCCCAAAGTATTCCTGGTGGTAAATAGCTAATTGCATAAGAAATATCTAGCATTATACGTGTGCATGTCAATAGTGCACTTCGTCGTTGTTTGTTGAGGTCTTTCAATGTGATACTATATTAAAAAAGAAACAAATACATAATTCATTTTCATATTTTTTTAAGGAATAATATTACTGAGATAAAATCATTTAAAACTTAATATTATCACAAATATGGTAAGATACTCACTGTGTATTAACATTACTTTTTTTCAATCCTATTTTATATCTTTGAAGCTTTTGTAATAATCTAAACGATCTAAAATAATAATGAAATATTTTACATTTTATTTTTTAAATGTGTGCTTCTAAGAAAATAATTATTATAAGATTGTTCTGATATAAAATAGTGTGCATCTTCAACAATTATGAAATATTATGTGAATATTAATTTGAAATATTATAAAACATATTTTGGCTTACTTACTTCAATAACGACAGGTGTAGAGAAACTATCCAAAACCAAGTTGTAGCAAGATCCCATTTATCATTATTAATTGATACAATATTATGCTGGCCAGCCCAAGCAATATGCTCTATGGGAGAATAAATAACATCTACTACATTTTGTATCACTTGGCTCCATCTAATCAACCGATCAGGTTCCTATTATTAGATTACATATGAAATTTAAATGGCTCTAGAAAAATAATGCAATGCATTTCCATTATATAGTATTCTTGAGGTAGCTGATTAAAAGATTTCAGCTATGTACTTATTATCAGCTATGTTCTTAATTTTTAACTGTACACAATTAATCCATATTAAATTAATAGAGATACCTGCTTTCCCCATCCATATGTCATCATATAATGAAGCGACGGAAGATCATCTAGCAAGCGCAGCATCACCCTGCATTCACTCATCTGACTTCCAAAGGTCTTGAGTTTCTTTTCGGCACTTTTAGATGAAGTACACACAGTAAGTAACTTTGCCGCATAAGACAAAGTTCTTAACATCTTATCTCTGCCGGAATATGTTTCCAAATAATTGCTCATGAGTGGAAGATCCATTTTGCCCTTTATTTATTTACAAAAGAAAGAATTGAACTTAATAATTACTGTAGGTTTACTGCAACAAAAGTTGTAAAATGTATTATAATTAATTTGTTACAAAACAAGAACTTGATATAAATAAAAAGATTAAATCCTCTTACTTTATCTATTGAAGAAAATATATAAAAAAAAGAAATAAGAATATTTAATCTTTACTTTTTGTAAAAATTATAAAATGAATAGAATTATAATAAACAATTCTTAAAAAAACAATTTTAGACAAAAACAAAATCGATTAAGATAATACAGATAGTAACTGTTCCAAGATTAATAACTTTTGTAATAGGTATTACAGAATTATAGGTATATTAAAAAGAATTACTTTTATTCTTACTACTTTATTCTACTTTTATTCTTAATTTTGTTTGACATTCATACAAATCACATGCATTTCCTTGCATTTTATTTGTTTTATAAACAAACAATTCTACATACCTAGGAAAGAGTTCCTGTGATCTGTAATACTGACGAGTCTTCTCTTTCTATAATCCTGATGAAATATGCGCAGTCACGCTCAGGTGTATTCTGTTAACAACAATTGTTTTTATTACGGCATATGTTACAAAGCATATTCGTTCGTCTTTCTCGGTCTGTCATACGAGAGAAAGTCCAGTGATTTGCATAGAACCAACACCGTCATCGTTCAATCTGCATTCGAGTTGTCATGAACCGGTTGTGCCGCACACAAATGCATTGATTAATACCGAACTGAAGATAATTTTCATATATCTATTCATATATCTATTCATCTAAAACGATCCTAATTGACATATTCCTCTTGGAAAAATAGTCAGCTGATTCGCCTATCTAGTACGCCATCTGGCGTTCGTATGCATCGTATTGTTAGCTTTTTGAATCTTGGTCTTGTCACAGAGTCTGCAATTATTATCGGTGTGTTGTTGTTGCATAATAAAAATATTAAAAATCTATTATTGAATATACAGTACAAGATCACTGTTAGTTAAAGAGATCACTGTTATAAAAGAGAAATAATGCTCTCAGACAGCATTTTTATTTTTCTTTTGTAAATACTATAGATTTATTTATATCAATGTATGTAATTGTATTATCAAATACAAATTATAAAAATTTTTATAGAAATAGTTTTCTGTTATTTTCTTTACAGATGTAGGCGCCGTTTCAGGTTTCAATAGTAACAGCCATACTGTCAATATTTTTGTCTGATATTGCAAGATACATATATTACATAATCGATCAACCTGGAGCATACATAACTATATTTATGTATTATAGTTATGCGTGCATTTTACAAAATATAAAAATAGCAGCTTAAGAATTAATTTAGGATATAAATATTACTTATGAACTTTAAGTTTAAATACATTAAACTTTATATATTGAATTAAATACATTGAACTTTATATCACGAAAAAACTTTGATATCGTAATTAAATAAACATCAATTGTCAATAAAAAGATTGCACTAATAATAACAACAATTATTTACATTCAGATAGCACAGAATATTTATGATAAATATTTATTAATATTCATTATTTGAAATGTTATATAAGTATTTTATATAAGTATTTTATTGTTACGTAATTATTATTATACATATATTTTATATAAAGCTTTATTTGAAATATTATTAAAATATGGACTAAATATTTCATGTAATGTTTATAATAAATATAAATAAATATTTCAATATTTATACAATAAATATTTATGATCTGTGCAATCTATAATAGCATTTTCGGCTACAGATTTGCATCAATATAGGTTGAATTAATTCATGTTCTCCTATTGATATAATGTAACATATCAATCAATAGCAAACAGTAATCCAGGTTAATGCAAATTGGTCGGACTGAAAACGCTGAAAAGAACACAAAAATATTTATAATAAGTATAAAATATTTAAAATAAGTTTTTTGTAAATATTTTATAAATATTGCGTGCTATCTGGGCAACTTCGATATAAGAATAAATTAAAGGCATTATACAAAAAATAGTGTTAATTATAATTAAATTTTAATTAATTTCTACATTTCTACATTATCTCTATTAAATTCTGAATTTAAATTTTGATTCTATAAAATCGATCATTTTTTATCTTTATGCGCTAACGATATATTTTTTTATGTATTTATATTTTTTTATGATTAAACACTTGTGGGCTCCAAAAGGCAGAACACAATCAAGATGTTTGATCTGTTGGATTAAGCGAAAAACAATTTGTTATGATCTTGTTATGTTTTTGCACCTTAAGTCAGTTGGACTCGAATAAATGATGAAGTACAGATTTTGTAGCAAATTGCGACGGAATCATAATTTAATGTAAGTAATTAATTTAAGTATAAAAATTATTTGCGAACAATAGATTTTAATGAAACTGCGAGTAGTTAATTTCTCTTTGCGTAAAAAGAAACTGATGAAATTATACCAAAATATTAACTTTATTTGATAATAATAATAATAATAATAATAATAATATATAATAGTAGTCTTTTTATATACATTAAAATTTTAACAAGTACATATTTTCCAATTTTTATAAGGCTGATACTAACAAGACCACATTTTCCATATTTCTTATCAGCATACACATTAATACAATGTTTTTATGATTGCACTCCTGTCAGACAACAGCGTGTAATAACTTAGAGTATGGTATATATCAACGTAATAATATAAATTTTTTTTTGAGCATTAAGCTTTGAAGCATTCTTTGATAATTAATAAAATCATAAAATTTTTTCTTCTTGACCAAATGTATCAAAGTATTTGTAGTGAGATTTCGACCGCACCCTTAATTGCAATATTTCAATATGTAATAGTCCAGTTAATTTAGTAGATATTTGCCAGACAAAAATTACAAACAAAATTTGCTAGTTAGTAACAATGAACTATATTATCTCTGATTATAACACAATAGTATGAATCAGATATATATTTTTTGCTTATCAGATTGTGCAAAGTTCATATTGATGACTCCATAGACATCGTGTACTTTTATACTGTAAAAAATAAAATGTTAATTTTAATTTAAAGATGTATAGTAAATTTTCTAAATGCAAAAATGTTAAAATTAACATATGTCTTTAAGTTAAAAACGTTTTATATTTTATATTACAGTGTAAAAGCTATAGGTAGGATGAAGCTCGTCAACTTTGCGAGAATTTTGTTGCTTTTCGAAATTTACTCTCTCATCAATGTAATCGCCAAGCAGACATCTGATGCTTTCGAGAATAACTTTCGTATGATAGTGATCACTTACAAAAATGCAATAGAGAGAGGTATATTAAGATCTATCTAAATTATATTTTATAATAAAAAGATTACCTAAGATATATAATTATAAAGATAATATTATTTTTTATTGCAATTAAAATGTTATAAATTAATCTAATATTCTGAATTTTTATTCTTGTAATTGAATAAGAGAAGGTAGTGAAAAAGAATAAAAATTAGTGGTTTAAATAAAAATTTATATATTATTTAGATGAGTTATGTTTATTATGAGTTATGTTAAGTTAAAATTTATAAAAAGACTGAATTTTTAGATATTTGATTTATATATATGTATAAAGGAGTGAGGAGGTATAATTAATATTATTATGATATTTTTCTAGAGAATATTCATTATATTCTGTATAGAGTCCGAGAATTAAAATAAATAAAAATAAAATGAGTAAATAATAATAAAAGGATTAAAATTTATTGATATAAAAATTAGAGGTAAAAGAAGGACAATTTCAATGTAGAAAATTAGAAAAATTAGATTGAAATGTCAAGAATAAAAGATATACGAAACAATTTAAAGACAGTTTTAATTATTAAGTATGGGACATATATAAACAAAAGAGAAGTGCTTTGGATAGAGCACTCGCGATAGAGGAAGGATGTTCCCTATGCAAATTTGAAGAGCAGCAATGCAAAAAGATTGTAAGATTTGACGGCAGTCCGGATGAATCTGGAGAAACTACAGGTGCTATAATTATGGATGGATAATGAAATAAAAGCTTTTCTTCTCAGCACACAAGTTATATGTAACGTACTTGTTAGTTGGATGTAATTTCGCCCTACTGAAAAAAAATCAGTATAAAGTTACATAACAAAATCATGTAATTAAGACAAGTAAATCATCTGAGATTGTTCCAAATCAATACATGATTTTTTTAAATTACGTAATTTAAAAAATCACATGATATTAGAAATAATTTCATCCGTATTGTGATTTTGTAGTCATCGAATTTTAAGGACTTGAATAAAATTAGAAATAGAAGAAAAAAATATATCATCGTGTAGCTTTTCAAATTATATAAAAAAATCACGTACTGATTTGGAATAATCCGTTATGTGATTTACTTATCTTAATTATATTATATAACTTGATTTTGTTATGTAACTTTGTGACATAATTTTTATTCAGCAGGGCCTACTCAACATTATAACTATAATCTAACACACGTGTATGTTACATATAATTTGATGTTTACTGTGTTGTTTCGTTAAACTTATACAGCAGGGAGGTTATTCAAGAAATGTATTCTTTTCGATAGAGTATCAATGGATATAGATCAATGGAGTAGGATTGCGAAACGTAAAGAATGCCATTTCGGTGGTTCGTAAGGTATTGAAGTATACCTTCAAACATTCCCTCCTAATCGGAGACTTAGCTACGCAGTTTGCTGTAAATATGGGATTCAAGAATGAATCTCTGCAAACGAATGAGTCCAAACAGATGTGGAAGCAATGGAAACAACAACAACGAACAAATGTCAACCCAACTTTTGGAAAGTATTAAGAGAGAAGACATGCTCTTTTTCAGCATATTTCAATTTATTATTACTTCTTCGGTATTCTTGCGCTATCTAGAACGTTATGCTGAAATCAACAACTAGCTGTGGACCTTATCACATGATAGAAGATGATAAAAGCAATAGAAACACGCCAGTAGGAAGATTTTCCTAGGAGGAAAATCATGATTCAATTAGTATTCTTGCGATAGACTCACAGGGACGCACAGCTGCTGAACGAATGAAGTTAAGTACAAGATACCTGGATGTGTCGGAGATTCTTCTATTGTAGGAGCTGGCGCCTATGCTGATCAGAGGATCGGTATAGCTGCCAGTACTGGCGATGGAGATATTATAATGCGTTTTTGCCAAGGTAACATTATGTATTAATATAAACATGTATTTTCCAGATATATTTTAATGAACTAAAATAGAAATTTATATATTCTATTTTGATTTTGGTCTTAATCTTCCTACTTTAATTTTAAATTTGTTAAAATTAAAATCTAGTGTAATATGTATAGTAAATTTTTAATAATATAGTTGTTGAAATTAAATTGAATCATTTTTGCAGCTTCCTGGCGGTAGAGGAAATGCGTTATAGAGCGTCGCCAATGGAAGCTGCTAAAAAGGCGATTAAATCATCCATCACTATCGTTTAACTTCTTCGATGTGATGGTGATTGCGTTGAACAAAGAAGGAAAATAGGAGCAGCGTGTAATGAAATGTTCGAATTTCCTTATATCGCAACTCCCACTTTAGGTCTTAGATCATATTTTATTCGATGCCAATTATAATTTGTATAATTATTAGGAAAATTTCATTTTCACGTTTTTCCGAACTTTAAAACAGTATGATACTATTTGTAAATAAATATGTAAAAGTTGTATAAGTTATATAAATTTGTATACATATAACATTATTTTTCTTAAATATTAATAACATTTACGAATTAATTACGGCAACAAATGTTGCTGTTATA